AGTGGTTTAGCCCCGTACATTGTTTGGAGAAAATTAGAAGGAGTAGTTCTTTATTTTTCTTATGTAACATCTACGGACATAAATCAAGAAAAAAATGAGAAATGGGTATATTTTAAAGCATACCACCCATACAAACATAAACTAAAAAACGCCTTAAAAATTTCCGAAATTTCGTCCATATATTCACAATAATGGAGTAAGTAAGCATACACAAAATTAGCAAAATCGCTTTACACTGAGGAAAAAAATATTAAAATCCAATAGAAATGTAATTGGTCTTACTATAAACGGCAGCGAAAGTACTGTGTATTGGTAAATATTCAATTCCATTACGCGCAATTAAAATGACCGCGTTCGTTCTGAAAAAGCATCCGCGAAGTCAATAATCAATATAAAACCAAAAAAATAGATATGTAACTCGCATGTTGCCTGCAATGGAATTCCAACACTGACCCTCTCTGGGTATCAACAAATTGTGGCTAGCATATTTACGCACTCAACTACACCCAGACTTGTAAATGTGCTTTCAAATGTTGAATTTCCATCAACACCACAGCATGCGATTTGTGGGGATTAACACCCAGCAAAAAAATCGGTAATCACTTTTAGTGGCAACGTGTCCTAGAACGGATTGCCTTATAATGTATTCGAATTTTTTCGCTTCTTTTAGGCATTGCCGGTAATGCATAGCAGAATGTTCTACAATATTTTATTAATTTCGCTGCTTTGAGTCATTTCGGGAAATGCAAAGTAGAATGCTTCACCATAGTCAGCTGAAAAATAGAATAAATAGCCACAAATTCTTTTCTACCGTTACTTTCTGTGGAAAATGCCATCGCATAAAAATCATGTTTTGCTGTGTTTAATTTGTGTGTCATTTCGGGAAATGCAAAGTAGAATGCTTCACCATAGTCAGCTGAAAAATAGAATAAATAGCCACAAATTCTTTCCTACCGTTACTTTCTGTGGAAAATGCCATCGCATAAAAATCATGTTTTGCTGTGTTTAATTTACAGCGAAGTTGAAGTCAGAAAAAAAATAAAAATTTAATAAAAACTCTACTGTGTAGCTTTTCAAAAGTTCTAGAGCTACTGAAAAGGAAAAAAAGGTTTACAAATTTCTGCAAAAAATTAATAAATATTACAACTTTTCCCACGCCGAAAAAAACTTACAAAGAAGTCGAAAAAGTTTACTGTTTGACAAAAAAAACCAAATAAAAATAGAAATTGAAAAGAATTAATATTAAAAAATAAAATAAAATTAATACCCCTCTGCGTAGCTTTTCAATAAATCTAGAGTTTCTGAAAAGGAAACAAGAAGTTCTGTGTTTAATGTGTGAGTAATAAAATTTAATCTGTTCTGAGCGCACTTTTAATAGTTCTAGAAAAAGGCCTGTAAAATTACGCAGAAAACAATTTTTTTCAAAAAAGTTGAAAAAGTTTAAATTTTTCTACTCAGAATAGTTTACCTTAAAATTTTTTCTTAAACAATAAACTTTTTAAAAATTTTTCGGAATGCAGATACATGCATTTAGAGCGTTTCTGCATCAAAAATAAATTTTTGGGAAAGTTTTTCGACAGCTGGGGCCGCGTGGACCACGTGAACCGTTTTCAATTATTATTTTTTTTGATCCCTCAAGGGAGGTCCCATATTAAATTAGTTTAATTCCGATCATTTTGTGATGAAGAGTTTACCGGTACTCCTAAATTTTAATATGAGAATTGAAGTCGGTTCTATTTTTTTTTTCAGCTTAAAAATAACTAGTTACATCTAGAATCTGCTAACAAATTTCAATTATGCCCATCAACACCAAATCAAAACTGTTGAAAGTTGCTTTACTTTTAAGCACCCACACATACAAAAATTTATACACATCCATACACATTCAAATGAGCAAAGAGGTGTTTATGTATGTACTATGTATAAAGTTGCACAAAAGCCACCAAACACTTGAGCTTGCCATAAACTTACTAAGCATTTCAAGCAAAATACAACTGCCACCATCCTTGTGTAAAATTTCACATGCGAGCGCATATTTGTGTGTGTGTTTGAATGCCTGCTCCCTCACTCGCATTGATTGCAGATATTCTGGGTTATTTCAGTTTCTCAGCATATTCGTCGGTTGTGGATGCTGCTAGTGGCAAACGTTATTTTTTACTTCCTTTCCTTGTTTGTTTTTGTCTACGGTAATTGCTGTTGTGCGCGCCAATGTTCACGAACAAAAGAAATTTTTCGCTGGCTTCGCGATAAAGGTACACACACACTGCACGTGTGCAAACCTACGCATCAAATACCAGCCAAATTCATCCATCCACATCAGTCTCTGTCTGCCCATACATTTCCGGTCATTAATTTTTTTCACCACACCACAGCAACACGCATTTATTCAACACAGCGGCAGCATTTAAGACTGATATTTCTCGAAATCTTCTTTAACCAATATTTTCGCAGCAAAATCTGGTCGAGAAAAACAAATTTTGAAATACAAATGTATATATGTATGTATGTATGTGCAAAAGAGCAAGGGAAGAGGGGATTGTAAGAATACGCAAAGAAAAAGGAACACAAATTTTACGCTACATATGTATTTGCTTTAGCTTTGCCATTACTGCCCTATATTATCTACAATACATTTACTATTTGATGAGTAGCTCGACGAGATCCAGGCGTTTGGTATCAGCAGCAGCAGCAGCAGCAGCCGCGGCGGAATTTGCGCTAATTTTTCACAGAAAAGCAACAGTCTCCCTGAGTTGCAGGAAAAAGTCGCAGTAGCCGAGCATGCAGCTACCGGAACCGTGTTGAGCATCCATCAACGCGAAGCAGCAAATTTGGTGGGTACTCTCGGCCATTAGTATATGAAACTAATACGCTCTTGTGCTCACTTTTGAACGCTTTTTTGTGAGCGAACTTTTCTTTGGCACCCATTTGTTACACTTTCCATAACTAAAGCTTTTCAGCTCAAATGTTTGCTCAGAACTTTCTCACATGCATATCTGTATGTGTTTGTAGACTTTTATTATAAAATGAAACTTGTTGGTGCTTTTTTATTAACCAATACAAAAACAACAACAACAATAACATCTTTTACAGCTGCCTTGAGAGGGCATATAAATTTGATGTCGGTTTTTTGGTGGGTAGGAGCTAAGATCGACTCTGATCGACACAGATCAGTTGCGAAAAGCAAACAAAATTTACTTCTGAAATTTCGGATAATGCTAAATTAATGGAATGATGATAACAGCTTTGGAAAAAGTATCGATAGTTCTTTTTGATACCGCGAAGAGAAGTTGCCTCTAATAATCCACGATAAATCCGTATTCTCCGGAAAACTAATTTATTTAAGCAGAAGGAAGTTCATAATAATTTGTAGGCCCATTCAAACAGTGAAGGACCTCTCCGAGCCGTTCGGAACTAAAAGAGAATTTCATGCAAATTTTAATATAATTGGGGATCCATAATGAAAGCTCCAGCTAAAATGAAGCAAATGCACGATGCTACTTTTGTATGCAGATGATGTTATCTTCAACAACAGGTTCGTCATTGGGGTTTTCCTCAACTCAAAGAAAAAAGGGATAAAGGAAAAGAGTTTTCGTAGTAGTATGTATTGAGCTGATGCTCTCTTGCATGATAAACCTATTAGAGACTTAAAAAAAATATTTCACTATATTTTCAGAAAAATTACAAAATTTCTATTTTTCTCAATTACTTATTCGACTTCATTTCGAATGTAAAAACCCGCCTTACTTGCTGGTAACTACAATTAGGTCTGTTGGATGAGTGCACTAAAAGTGTAGAACATTGAAGTGCAGAACAACATCTGACATTTAGCTTAAGAAATGACATGCGTTTTGGACGAGAAAAAAACCCCCATAGAAACTTTTCTTTACACTGGAGTACTCTAGTGCCTTCATCGAACAAACCTAATATCACAAAAATTCGACGAAACGCCCACAGTGCAAGGTTTAAGCTTGAGAGTTGTTTTTGTAAATACAGTGACGTTACACAATGACGTCTTAACCACTTGACCCCTAAATATTAGCCCCACTGCCATTGTTAACATTGTAGCACTTGAGTACCAACAATTATTAGTTGACCCTCCCACCCACAACAGAAACACCAGCAAGAGAGTGAAAGAGCGCGAGAAGGATGAACCCATTGTTCTCTGACTCTCCGATATGTCAGCCTTCGCTGATGGCGCTCCTTTGTATGAGTATACTCCGCTATGCTGGCATCCAACAGAAGCTGTGTCGGCTAAAAAAGCTCAAGGTAAGTGAATCTCCCGATATATACCACAACGCAGCGCTTTTTTTTATGCAGCACAACTTAGCTCTACTGCTGCCATTGCTGCACATTTTAGCCGAATTTGTTCCTTTTTTTGTGTGTTTTATTTTGCTGGTATGCACAGCCAGCAGCAACAACTTGCGCGACGCATCGCCTCGTTTCGGTTAATTTGTTGAGTTTTTCTTTTTACGACAATGTCGACATGGCGCTCGGTGGTTGTTTCGTCGCCATCGCTGTGGTTGGTCGGTCGGTCTCCAGAAAACTCAGTGTGCTTGAGGCCGATAGTCGCTGGGAATACGCCGCGATGCTAAGACCCGCATACGCAAACGAAGTTGTCGCCGTCGTTAGTGCCGCTATTGTTGTCGTTGTCGTTGTTATTGTTGTAGTCATTTTCGTTGTAGTTGTAACACCCGCTGCCGTCGTCACCGCCGCAGCAGTTGGCAATTCGTCCGTCACATTTACTAACATTGGAGTGTGCAAATGAAATAGGAGGAAAAAACGGCAACAGTGGAAAAAGTACATAAACGGCGGTTGGTGAGGGAGTGAGCATAAGAAAAGAAGGAAAAGGAAGTGCAAAATTTTGTGAAAAGTGCAAGTGGCGGTGAAAGTAAAGCAAGAAGTGGCTATGCTCGTAACCGCCGCAGCCGTCGCCGCCTGCGGGCTGCTGCTGGGCGCCTTAACCGCGCTCGCTGCACTCCTGTAATCAACGTCCGGCAAGATTGCGCGAAGTGCAGGAAGGTGCTACCAGAACCTAGCTACTCAGCTCAGCTCAGCTTCACAAAGTGGACGAAGAAGGCTTAACGCTGTCGAAGATCGTTTTCGCAGCTCAATACCGGTTAGCAAGATCGACAGTAGCACGGCTAATGGTCGCGGTGACCATGGACGCAGTGCGTTGCTGCTCGCTCGCTACTCAGAGCTAATGTGCTTTATGTGGGTATGTGTTTGTGTGCGACACTAAAATTATAGTGCAGGGTGAGTTTAACTTTCATACTATGCCACTTGGAACGTCGTAGCGCAAAAGATGCTCTTTCTCACCTTCTGAAATACGAAATAAAAAAAAAAATTAAAAATTCTGAAAAATTCCAAGTGAAAGTTTGTTAAAATTGCGGTGATAGTAAGAAAATCTATAAAAAAATACACATAGAAAGTTGCTGAAGTTGCTTCTTACTGCTTCCAATTTCTATTTGCTTCTCCTATTCTTCCATCTCCTTGGCCATGCAAGCTTCAGCTGGCGAGTAGTGCAGTGCTTCGAAAGTAAAAAAAAAATGGAAAGATGAAAAGTGACTGCATAAAAGTGCAAAAATAAATCAAATAAAAAAATAAATGTAATCCTTACCATCGCTGCGAAGTGCATAAAATCGTTTGCCACTGCGGCCATTAATGTTAATGACGTAAAGTGAAAATTTCAGTAGCCACCAGCAACCTTTGCGGCTGTCCTCTTCAACTTTTCGACGCTTTCATTTACCAACACTTTCGTCGTCGACTACTACGTTTTATGTTTTGCCTTTGGCGTATTTTAATGGTGAAGGTAATTAACGAAATCGTAAAAAGTGTTTCAGTTGGGTGCTCAAAAGAGGCGTTTAGCTTAAGGTTAAAATCAAAAACAATTTGCCAGTTTTGTTGGTTATTATACATATTTATGCACATATTTTGTATTCTTTAAAATATTAACTCAAGTACCTCCGACTCAGACGTGTTCTCATAGCTTTGTACCTGCGACCGTGTATAACTAAATGTCCCTGTGTGTGGCCTGTGTGCATGTATATGTTCTTCCTAGCCAGCAAGGAAATTTCGCTTTGCTTTTGTGTGTGTCCTTGAAAATTTCGGATGCTTTACTTGCTAAGTAAGTAAATATGTAGTATTGTGCGTATGTGTATAATTATTTTCACTTCTTTTGATTTCAATTATAACTACAAAGGTCAAGAAATTGTAAGAGAATGAAAAGTAATGTGTGGCTTGGGGCTATGCCTTATTTGATCTGTTTTAAAAAATTATATAAAAATAGAAATTAAAAAAACAAAAGCGGTTGAAAAATATAAACTTAAAAGTGCAACGCAACAGATAAATACTATCGATTTGATTGTTAAAAAAGGAAGCTTGCTGCCTGAAGTCTTAAACGAAATTTTATTTGGCCCCTTTTTAGGAAATTGTACGGGAAGTAGATATTTAGTTAAAAATTGCGGATATTTCCGATTTTACGTAATATTTGCCTATGTTTTACGAGATGTGTATGACCCAGATACCAAAAATGTTTATAACTGGGCGCACTTGTAAACAAGTGACAGATAGGCATATAGTATGTGTCAAAACTCTCAGAATGAAAAGATAAATCGTTTAAGACGTCCGTCTGTTCACACGATACCTCAAGTAAAATTTTAGATACGTCCACGAACGTTGGTAGACGGATTTATCTTTGACTACGGACAGATGGTATTTTAGATGGCCAAAATCGGGTAATATCCTCTCCTACAACGGTAGTCTTCCGAAATACGAAAACCGCTTCAGTGATTTTAAAAACTAAACAACACAAAATGGATATCTATATAAAAATACGCTAACATAAATTTTGTCACCGTCCATTAAGCGATTCCACCGAACCGATTTAAAAACCAAGGAAAGGTGTTTTCTGTAGATAAGGAAAGTTTTTATGGTTTTAAAATTGGTTGAAAATTACGGCGTTCAAAAATTTTCATCTTGGTGTGTAATTATTGTTGCAACCTGTTCAATTTGAGTTGTTTTCGCATTTTGTTTTACTTCGTATTTGAAACTAAACTTTTTAATAAAGATAAATGCGATTATAAAGAAATAAATGTTTAAACGATTAAGACAAAATAGTGAGGGTAAAGTGGAACATAAAGACGAAAATGAAAACAATGAGTAGTACATAATAATTAGCGTAACTGAAAGGGTGAGAAAATTTATCGAAATTCAGGCATGAAAAATTTAGTTATCGGAAGTTATGAACTTACCGAAATTTATCGAGTTATCGAAGTTTAAAATTATCGAAACTTATCGAGTTATTCGTGCTTACTTAGTTGTCGAAATATACTTATAGTTATCGAGCTATACAATTTATGGTGATGAAAATTTTCAAGTTATCGATATTCATTGAATTATCGTTATTTATAGAATTAACGAAATTTATCGAGTTGTCGTAGTGCATCGAATTCTTACACTTATCGAGTTATCGATATTTCTTGATTTACTAAAATTTGTCATTTTATCGTATCGAAGTTTTTTGAATTTTCCAAATATAACGAGTTATCAAAATTTCAAGGTTATATAAGTTTATCTAGTTATCACTGTTTGTAGAATATGAAGCTTATTAACCAAGTTGTTAAAATTTATGGAGGTATCCAAAGTGTATCGAGTTAACGATTTATAACATTATATATAAATGTTTGAGTTATCGAACCATCGAAACGCATAGTTTTCGAAATTTATCGGAAATTAGTCGAGTTATCGAATTTTGTTGAGTTTTCGGGTTTCAGTGTTTTTGAAATTCATGGAATTATCGATATATATAAAATTATAGACAAACTGAAATATATCGGGCCAACTCCAAGTCCTGCCAAAGATATAAAAAATTTAAAGATATAATTAATTGTAGATTTAGCTCCAAAGCTGGAGATCTTCCGGTGAGTAGTTTTGTACTTTATAAAATTACCTGATCTAGGAAAACGATATACATATCCGTAACCTATGGCCCAAAATTAAGTTTATGTATCTCGGCTTTTTTATGTGTGTAATTTTAGCGTTCCTACAGTGTAGTTTTTCTTAGCGTTACCGTGCATTACTAGCGTTAGCTACGAAATTACATAAGTTTTTCTGATTTCCTTAGTCTCTCTATCGCTATTTTTAAGTAGAAAATGAATTCCAAATTAATTAATTTTTGGGTTTTCACGCAAATTGCTAAAAATTCTAAAATAATTCTCGACGTGCTCGAAAAAAAAAACCATAATTATTTAAGCCGAGGAGATATGTAATTGTAAGATAGACTAATGTTACTAAAATCGAAAAACCGACATTTTTTAACTTGTCCAGCCGTGGATAGTGATAGAAAATATACATGTGCCAAGTACACAAAATCGATACTTTTCACGAGCACTGAGTAATATTTAGNGCAAATTGCTAAAAATTCTAAAATAATTCTCGACGTGCTCGAAAAAAAAACCATAATTATTTAAGCCGAGGAGATATGTAATTGTAAGATAGACTAATGTTACTAAAATCGAAAAACCAACATTTTTTAACCTGCCCAGCCGTGGATAGTGATAGAAATATACATGTGCCGAGTACACAAAATCGATACTTTTCACGAGCACTGAGTAATATTTAGAACTCGATACTTTATGACAAGTACCGAGTAAGTATTACGAATACCAAAAATTATCGACGTGCTAAAAACTTTTTAAGTAAAAAAATTTTGTTCTTTCAATTACGTTGAAAATTATTTGAAAATTATCCAATACACATTGTGGAGACTGTTAAAAATTATCTTCGACATCCAATATGATTGCCGCGAAAATGAGCATTAAGATTATTTATTTCAAAACTGTGATAACTCTAAAAACCAAAAACTCGAGAAAAACGGCTTTAAAGCTTTGAATTTAACATATTGTAAAAATTAATACCTATTTTGTTCCAGTGAGCTACTGATAATCGGTACAGCTATGAAATTTTTAGAAAACAAAGAATAAGAGAAGCGGTCATTTCAACATTGGGCTCGGCTAGTCATTCTTAAATAGTTCGAAAACGAATCTCTTGCCTCACCTTCGATAATAAATCGGGTAAGAGGGTGGTCTTCCGTTCGATAACTTGCCTATTCTCCAGCATAACGGAGCCTTCGTTATCCAAACTATTCTATCTTCGTTGTAAATTCGAAACCCAACCAATTTCCGAAGATAATGTTTGTGAAAGAGAGCTTATCTTTCGTTTAGAGAATGGGCTTCCACATATTTGGCTCCACATTGATTCTCATTTTCTAAATTTGCATTTCGTTTTCAAAGTTAATTGACTTATAAATATACTTATCAAACACCTGTAAAATATTTGCTTTCCAGAACTCTAAATAAGCTTTTTGGTGTCCATTCAATTTACAAATACGATGAGGTCATAGAAGCAAGCAACCTGATTTTTGTTAAATTTTCGCGGTTACATTAAAAGTACTTGGAAGTACTAGTATTATCCATATGTTTTTTTTTTTTACAAATCTGAGTAGTGGCATCGAGTAATCCATGTCCAAGCCTATTCAGATGATATTTAATTCTCTGTCAGTTTTATGAAGGAAAGTGGAAAGAACACTGACTTTGATCGACACTTGATGTAATTGCAATGGGCTGTCCTCCATCCTACATAAACTTGGGTGGTGATCTTCACTAGGAGGCGAAGGTTGGATGATTTAGTTCCTGTGCGACAATTTCAAGACAATTCAAATAAGTCCGGACTTTGCTAACATTTTGGCAAATTTGGAAAATCATAGAGGATTAATATTTTCTAAAAATTAGACTTCGGAAAATTTTACTTGGGGTCTTCTCAGGCAAAAAACTTCGCGCCACCAACGTGAAGGTCTTTAAAAGGTTAAAATAAAAAACCGATGCCAAGAAGGAATAACAGCAAAAAAACTTGGTTTGTCCACATTTTTTATTTATTTTTATTTTTTTAATTGAGTCTGGATGTTATTCCTTAGTATAATTTCCGGAGAATAATTTTCTAGAATATATCAATCCTCTAACGAACTTCCAAATTTGCATTTTGCGGGGTTTCTTGAAGGAAGGGTCAACACGACCTTTCAGGCGGGAGCTAATTGGTTAAAATGTTCTATGAAAATATTTCCCAAGAAATTTTATTATATATTTCTTAACCTTTAATTTCGCTCAGATATTTATTTGAACCATTTTTTCAACATTTTTTGAAAGCTCCATAAAATAAAAATACGAGCTAACTTTTGTAAATCCATCGAGTGTTTAACTACTGGATGGCTATACTTTCAGAAAATGTTCCAAGCTGGTTTCGGCTGTCGCACAGTGTAACATTTAACAGAGTCACAATTCAGATCTCCTTCGAAGATAAGTATCTAGAAGTAAGAGCTCCAAGGTATTGGCGGTATTTTGTTAATGGGAATAGGTCTTTGGTAAAACATGGGTTCTGTCACCAAGAGATATCCCCTGGATGTACATATACCTCGATGATCACACTTATTAACAGCTACGCATCAGTGGTATGGTCGAGCAGATCCTCAATCAATAGCGAAGAGAATGGTCTCCTAAACTTCAAAGTTAATTCGTCGTGCGCTGTTCGGGAGCTTCCTCTATAATACCTGCCCCCGGCTCTTGATGCTATACTACACTTAGCTTTACTTTGCACCCTTATACGTAGGGCGGACTTAAAGATTAGTTCTGAAAATATCTAAAATTTTTTGTTCATCAGCTTTGTGTTTAACACTCGAGTTTCTAGTTAGATTTTTGTTTTGTTTGAACACAGCAATACACACGTGACATCCTGGTGTAGGTACATAAGCACTTATGGCCACACGTATGCGGGTACTTCTGAAAAAAATCTATATTCATACATATGTACGTATGTATGTGCATTTGTACAACTGTAATTGCACTTGTACTCAACACTTGTGCTCTTGGTGTTTTTGTTGTACTTGATGTAAGAATAAGAACAACTTGAAAAGCGGAAGTGTGAAGTATCTGCAAATGCGGCAACTGTAGTGCTTCCGGGTCGAGTGGGCGGGGAAAATATTCATTTGAGGACTTTTCCAATCCAAAGACTGTTTTTTCTTCGTAACTGCCAGCAAAAGCCAAGCATTTGGCAGTTTTTGTTTTTATTGATTTTTTTTTCTCTTTTATATAGCAGTCGGCGTAAGTGCAAGGTGGGGCCGAGTAAGGCAAGAAAAGAAAATTAATTGAAAGGCTAAAGAAAAATAACAAAAAGAAAAAGAGAATATAAAATTCGAAGCAATAAAAATGGGCTGATTTGTTGGCGAGATTTGTGTTAGTGTGTTGGCGAAAATTGTAAAGCTCACTGCTATGTATGTAAATATATTTTAGTCGGCTTTTAATACCATTTATTTAAATAAAATTTTAACTAATTAAATATTTCTGTTCTCTTCTAATTGCAGTGTTACCATGACGTTGATCGTCGAATTTTATGTTTGTGTAAAAAACCTTGGCTAAATATTGTGCAACTGAATTAAATACGACAGCAATAAATTTTAAGTAGCTGACAAAAAACGAAAATGTTTCAAAGGCGTTAATTTAATTGTTCGAAATAACGAATTGCAGTTAATCTACTACTAATAATAATGTACATATATACGTGATGTTTATCAAATAATTGCAACAAGGCATATCAGTAAAGAACCCGCCCCGCCCACGAAGCAAATATGACAACGCCCAGAGTGTAATGTAGGAAAAAGCGCATACAAAAGCGTGAATAATTATAACAAGTTCGACTAAATGTAATCCGTTTTAAAAACCAAATCTCCAAAGATAGCAAATTACTTAATACTAAATGTTCTATAATACAAAAAAAAAAAAACATAAAAATCGATGCTATAAATTACAGTGGCAAATGTAAATTATCTGAAAATCTGCATAAAATAATAATTGTAAAATTCTTTAGAAAAGTGCATACAATAAAATAATTTGACGAAATTAAAATCAATAATTAAGTTATCAATAACAACAATATTCTAATAAAAAAACTCCTTAAAACATTCATTTGTGTGGCAATAAATTGAAGATTTATGGTTTAATGTAACTCAATTTTAAAAGCGTATTAGTACAGCAACAATGGATTATCAGCAATAGTTTACAGCAATTTAAGGTAAGTTTAAAGTTTTTGAAATGTTTATAAAGATACTTCAGTTTTATATTGATTCGTATTTGTTTATCTAAGCGAAAGATTATAAAAACTAAACTCGCTGTTGCCGACTGTTGTGCTTGAAATAACAGAGTTCATCTTTACATCATTGTTAACTTAGATAGAAATAACTACGAGGGCAGCTTGATAAGTTAGTAATTTTTAAATTTTCCTCATAGCTAATGAAATACTCCACATCCTTCATATTCTCCCGATTTAACTTTTCTTATTTACAAACCTGCAAAATAGCTTAGCAGTAAGAGATTTGAGTTGAGTGAACAGGCTTTTACCGAAACAAGTGCCTATTTTAAGAACCCCGAAAAAAAATTTTATACGAAAGGGATAAAAAAAAGGAAAAACTTTAATAGTGCATTCAATTCAAAAAAGAAGGCTCGACGCCTTGGTTTCACTATATGCACAGTATTCTACTTGTCAACCACTTTCATTTGATACCTTACGGATTGAAAATAACAGTTACTTATTTTTGAAATTTCAATTAAAGAAGTCAGGCGGAAAGAATTTTTATGTATATTATAGATTTTATATTTATCGAGTTTTTTTGAAAAAGGCATAACAGGTCCCTGAAATCCATATTGAGGTGATTGAAAAAAATTTAATTTAATTTAATTCAATTTAACTTAATTTCAATTAATACTAGATTTGCCCCAAACACTTCAAGTGGTCCAATATTTTTGGCTGCATTTTACCAGATCATTTCAGTGCAAATTATTCTAATTTTCGAATTTTTGGTTTACCAATCAATTCTAATTTGTTTTTAATTTTGATTTAAGTAAATAACCTATGTTCTTTATTTAAATAAAATTTAATCAGCTGATTAATATACACAAACCAGCTTCTTTCTGCATGCAGCCTTGCTTTTACGAATACTTTTAGCACGGTGCTGCCCTATTTTAACTCACTTAAATAAAAAGCTTATTGACAATGAAAAAAAAAAATTATTGAGAATTAAATTTAAATTTATTTCCACTTAAACCAATCTGGTGAAACGAAGCCTTAGAGCTCTTTCTTTTTCATAATTGCCATACGGCATCGAGTCGTTTGCTATTCGTTTCATTTTGCTACTTTGCGGCTTATTAATCGGGTTAGTGGATTTGGGTTTCGGTCCAAAAAGAAAAAAAAACAAAAACACCGAAACCAACAAAAATACTGAAAAAATACTAAACATATTCAAAAGAAAATGTATGTATGCAAATTTATGTACATATTAAATTCTTATGATTTGTCTTTCTCCACAAAAGGAGACGATTTATTTCATAATACTCGTAATGTCGCAAATGCAATATAAATTCCTCTTTAGTGAAAGTAATATGCTAGTTTATTTCACCAAATACATAAGAAAATATTATAATTCACTGATGCCAAATGCAAAGAGAGCCCCAAGAATAGCAAAAACCAAACATATTTATATATATATATTTAGTTGCACAGACACCAATACAAATGAAGACAAGCAGAAATAAGGAAAACTAGAAAATTGTATTTTTACAAAATAAAATTTTACGATGCATAAACTAAAACGATGCTGGAACCCAAAAAAAAAGGGGAGTAGATTGATAAAGAAGCTAAAGATAGCCAGCAGGCGGGGGAGCTTTGCCGGTGGCTGTTAGTGTCAGTTACGTATGTACGTGGCTTTGTATTTTGAATTTGTCTAAATGTATAAAAAGTATGAAATACAGAAAAATAGAGATTCCTTTGTCCTTAGCAAAACTAATGAAATAAATAGCTTAAAAAATGGGGGTGATGACAGTTTGTGCTTGAGGTGGGGCGAAAAATCCTTTATACTTACTACATGGATTGTAATAATTATAGTGGAAAAGATATTCAAAACAAAAGCAGCCGCTATTTGGGTGTTCCTCTTCGAGTTTAAAATATACAATTAACATAAAAATATTTGGGAGGTAGCGATTTTTTTCTGGGACATCTCTTATATGTTACCAGACTACTGCAGCTTATTCCAAGCTGAAGTTTCCACTTTAAAGGTGGCTGTAGTAGAGAAACTTGGAAGCGAAATTCTAGGCAGAGAACTTTTCATTTTTAGTGATATCCAAGCTACAATTTAAGCTCTGAGCACTTTCACGTTTTATTCAAGGATTGTGTGTTGACTGCTGCCTTACCTTGCAGGAGCTGGCCAAGCAGGACAGACTCACTTGGGTCTCTGGTATCACGAATATAGAGGGAAACTGCATGGAAGATGAACTTGTAGGGCAAGGCACGAACAGATAGATTATTTTACTATGCTATTTAGAGAATTTCTATACAAATAAACTAGCTATGGATGGATGGAACCTAAGCACGACGAATTTCAAGGCAGACGTGGTCAAATGGGATAGAAACCGGTCACGAAGCGTATACACTCTGTGAAGAGAGGAAATATGTCTCTAATGCTGTGCCCTAACTGGGCAGTATCTGATAGGAAACATGCAGAAATGCTCGACTTGCCTTTTCTAAGATTTTGCAGAACCTGCAGAACTACGAAGAGCAGCAAACGGCCTTAGATCTCCTGTGTGTCCCGCACTGTGTAGGAAAGGGCTGTGGCATCTGACACTGACGCAAGATGCTTGATGTGATTCAGCAGGTGGGCGTCTATCTATGGCCTAAGTGTGCTGCCACAGGTGGCACCCACTTCTCATACCTATCTGTCTTTATTCCAGAAAAAGTCGAAAATGGCAGGTAGACTATTCTTAACACATTTAAGATGATAATGACTTCCATTCTGAATCACTCTATTTTATACAAAATATTTAACAGGAAAAAATCAGCGATTTCAACGCTTCTTGAAGTGAACTGCAAATTAAAAGAAACGGAATAAGAGCCCAGTCATTGGGCTACGATATGGGCTAGATCTGTTAAAGCATGAGTGACGAGAAAAAAAAAGATTTTTTCTATTTCTATGCACTGTTTTAAATTTATGCTGGCAAGCCAATGTTGTCATGGACCGTGGCTTTCTCGATCTCCGGTGCATCAGTGTACCAAAGTATAAAACTAGAATGAAGATGTGAGAATTTGACTTAAAACTTCTTGCCTTGTGCACATAGACTTATCCCCTCGTACAAAGACTGCTTCGTGTAACTTTCAAGCCAAGATTTTATTGATGCTTATAAAACTTTCTACATATTCGCTATCCATATCATAATTGTTGTCGATATTATTACAGTTATTGACATTCTTATAATTAATACGTATCATTAAAGTTATCGATGTCAAAAAGGTTATCGATATATCTAGAGCTACAAGTATTGCCATCTATACTTGCTTGGTTATTAATTTTTCAATATTTATTATCAATATTATAAAGGTTATCGGCATCTTTATAGCTAAATGGATTGTTGTAGATATCGTTATTAATTTTATAATTTGTGCCGTTTTATTTCTTGTAATATTAAATATCAGCATAAACGTAGTTATCATACTCGGTATCGCTCGTGTTAACAATATAGTTTTTGTTATTGCTATTATTATCCAAATATTGACAGTTATCGAAGTTAGTATGCATAAAAACAGTTTTTTTAATGTTATCGTTTTCGTAAGAACTACCGTTTGCAGAAAAACATTCCTTTTGTCATTAATTCTGTTTTGATACGGGCAGGATTACCACAGCCAACGGATTATCGTGTGATCTTTTGCTCGGTCTAAGCTACATTTACGTTAGGTTATACCATGGTCCCTCGCGGGTTTCACTTAAGCACAGTGACCATCATTGACGATGCATTATTACCTCGGTTTAAGGCTTCAATACCGTGATATATAAACGGTTTATGGCCAGAAAAAAATGGAACGTCGACTAACAGTGAAAAATGTTTGCCACTAAACTGATATTTCGAAGATTAAGCAAAGAAACAGCGCTGGCCTCTGCTAAGAGACTAGTGAGATTTATGTTAAAGAGAAGCCACTTGGTCTTTTACTAAAGAACACAGTTCCAGCAGAAAAAGTCACTAAGTATCTTCGCCGATTGCCAAGTGGCTGTGAGAGCGGTAAGTTTTAAAGTAGTTCAATCGGGAATTGTGCAACTGATGAAATAAGGGATATGGCTCGATGATGTCAATAATCTCCATTACAAACAACTCTAAAAATATAACCTCCACTTACTGAACATATTACCAACATAGGTGGATTTACTTAAGCTGTTACAAATGACCTATAAACTAAACCAGGTGATTGTGTGGCTGCGGTTAGCTAAAAAAGGAAAAAGACCTTCTGAAACCCAAACAAACCTCAGTAAGTGAAATCAACTAACCACTTACCAGACTTGTAGTCAAGATGACTTAAACACCAGTCGTAGTAATAGAGATGGTGAAATGCTTAATCCTCAATTTATTTTGGGGTACCAAGTGGTACATTACGTTACTGCTATATTTGTTTTTCGAGTTGTAAGGGAACCCCAGTTAGAGAAATGTGTCTCCTCCCCGCATTCAGTCATAAATCGTAGTCACAATGGATAACTA